GCTCATGTTGCGAAGGAAGAAGGTGCTACAGTGCTCTGATTAGGGCTGAGACACTAGAGAGTTTTAGTACTGCGTACGCTGCGTACGTAGCGGCGTTGCGTACGTAAGGACGCCACGTTCTGTGTAGTGCGCATGCGCAGACCGCAACGCGCACGTATCGCGTTACGTACGCAGCCGCTACGTACGCACGCATGAGATGCGTGCGTGCGTACGTATGAGGTGATCGCGCCGCTCTCGAACAAGTTCGCGAAAGCGCGAGACTTCGTTTTGCAAAATGGCGGCATCGAAGGCAAGCACCGACTGGCTCTGTGGCTTAAAATATGGCCATAATCTGGCTATAACACTTGGATTGGCTCACATTGGCTGTCAACAACACGTGCTTCTATTTTGATCTACCAGATGGCGCAACACGCTTCACGCTCGTTACGTACGCGGGTACTACGGCGTATTAAAAGCCGATTAGTGGCAAACGACGCCACGTAACGCAAGGCGCTTGCGTGATGCGTACGTAGCACCATTCCGCAGTACTAAGACTCGTTACCGCACTGAGCATTACCCCACTGAGTGGCACTGAGCCTTAACACATTGAGCATCCACACACTGGGCGTTAACCCTGAGCGTTACCGCAGCTACTGCGCTGAGGCAGCAGACATGTGGACGCACTTGAATTATGAACGCGCAATCAGGACGTCGCAGCGTCTTGGAGCCGCTTCTTCCGCCCGCTAGGCTGCGTGTTGACTCCAAGTTTCAGTCGTGGTTCCCCAAAGAAGCGGCCCGTGTTGCACGGTTTTATTCGGGACGACGCGGAGTGGGGTCCGCGTATGTGCGAAGCATTCACTGCACGCTGCACTGGACGTATTCAAAGGGCGCGTTTCTCCGCCGGCGACCGTTCACCATATAAAGTGCGAGAACAGTTGTCGATGTGATTCATTCGTTACTCGGCCCCCTTTTATTCGGTCTGGTGGGAAGTGGCATCAAAGCATTTTCTCGCTCGGCCGTGAAAAGGAATCGAGCTGCTGTTCTCGAGCCGAGAGCTCTCGCTCCACGAGTGCTTTTCACGGAATTTCTTTTTTTGATGCCTTTACCAAAACACTCGAAATTTTTAAGGGTTATTGATACTTCCAGCGAAGTATGTAGACACTTTCAAAGAGTGTGATGTGGGAGGCAGTCAAAAAATATGTCACTTCTGTTTCCCTAGAGTGCAGCTGCCCGTCAGCCTTTCCTATGCAATAGCGCTATCTCGGCCACTCGGGACAACGTTTACGCGTGCAACGTCAGAATCCTGTAATTTTGATGTGCGTTTACGTTAATCCACGAAAGTAACTCGAGCGCACTCTTCCCAATCCGTTAATACTATACCGATGACAACAATCATCATCATCCGCCTGACTACGTCCACTGCAGGACAAAGGCCTCTCCCATGCTCCGCCAGTCAACTGTAGGTCCAGTGCTTGCTACTGCCAATTTACACCCGCAAACTTCTTAATCTCATCTGCCCACCTAACCTTCTGTCTCCCCCCTAACCCGCTTGCCTTCTCTAAGAATACATAAATCTAGGACAGCAATCAGTAATTGTTAATTGGTGGTTTGATCGTGTTAGGGGCATACTATATGAGTACCCACCTTAAAACTAATCCAATGGTCAGGACACAGATTACGGTTTTTTTCGATCACAAAGCCTTCCAGGCAGGCCTCACGAAATCACCACACATTTCCCCCTGCAGGCAACCATGGTGGTATGCGAAAGCGTGGTCGATGATGGCTCTGACCGCCAACTCGCGTTGCCTCGTCGCTTCGGGATCGGGAGCCGCCGCTTGACGCTGTCGTTGCCCTTCAACTTTCCGAGCCCGATGTTCTGGGTCAGCCTCATAACGCTGATGTTCCACTTTGGCGTGCCGAGCCAGTATTGCTTCCGTAGAAGTTTCCTACCGACGTTGACGTTTGGATTCTCTAGCCCCAGGTTTGGGGTCCGCTCGCCGACGCTGACGTTTACGTTCTGCTTCCCGAACCTCCCTCTGCTCCGCGGTGGTGGCGCTGCCGCTGTAACTAGCGCCGACGTTGACGTTGTTCCTGGCGTTCCGTAAACCGTTGCACAGAGACAGAATGACGCAAACACAGCTAACGCGTGTTTTGTACTGCGCCGTTACAATTGCACCGTCTACAGACGTACCCTCAAATAGAGAGGGAGAGAGAGTTATACGCAATGATTTGCTGCGCCGCACCTGTGGTGGAGAGAGGGATATGGGAGGAGGAAAGCGCATACCTGCGTAAGAAAGGAGAATTAGGGAGAGTTGCGCATGTGCAGTATGGGTGCGGACGTCGCAGAACGGATAGTGCCCCGAGCACAAGATGCTCTTGCATCTCAAAGACGTAAGCGAACTTTGTCCAATAATCTATGCCATGCTATTTCGCGGTCCTCACTGTTTTGTCAGATTCGCTACCGCGAGAACCAGAGCCGACAGCGTCGTGCCGCTCGACCAATGACGTCAAACGTGACGTTTATACGCAAATCAAGTGACTCTTCTGCACGTGACGGTGACTCGTAATACCACAATGGTACCGCTGTTGCGCTCTTCGGGTTACAAAAATGCGGCGGAACCAGACGACTTGCTGTCTGATATTGTGTTTCAATCGCTCAGTAATGTATCAATGGGTGCCTACTATGCATTCGGATAATGCTACACTTTCAACTTTATGCGAACCTGACGAGGTACACGAATACTATGCACAGATATATATGGTCGGGGTTTGTTCACAACCTCACAATATCGTCCATCTCTTGCGTTTTCGGCGGCGCATTGATTCGAACAGCTCGACAGCCGAACCACTGACACCTCCCATGCGCCAAGCATCAAAGGCCTCCCTTCTAAAGACTTCCTAGCCACTCCTATTCCAAAACACTCCCATCACGTGGCATTTTCCTGTAATGGCCGTATCCCCGAAAGTGAAGAATCGCGAAGAGTGCGCTGTTGCTTCGCACCATCACCGCTCTGGCGAGCGCGTTGCTTGCGGGTGCATACTGTACGCTCCTCCGAGTGCTTTCTGTGAGTGGGCATACATAAAGCGCGCGGTCATTTTTCTCCGCGTCCGGTCCTTCTCTCGCCCTCACAGCGAAGGTTTCTGACAGCTCACAGAGACGCGCAACGTTCGTGAATAATATGCGCCCTAATCGGCCACCTCTTCTTCTTGCACCTCTTTTATCATTGTTTTCTATCTGGCAGAATCTAATAACCGCGCGGCATCTTCTTGACGAAGACGAGTGTTTACCACGACCAGAAGCGCTGCAACGAGTTGCCCGCTTTATACGAGCTGCGCGTGTGCTTATACCCTTTTTAGACTCGCGCAGCTTGGCTCCTATGTGTTTTCCCTTGACGTGCGAAGTCCACTCACGTGACTCATTTAAGAGGGGTCGCCTAGATAAGCTTTGTATAAAGCCTGCTACTCCACGTATAGACTCCGAAAACTTTGCCTTTCCTTTTACACACGTCGCTCTCACGTGTATAACACTCCCTTTAGAGAGGCACGTTGACTGTGTTTAGGAGAGTCGTGGGACGAACGACTCTCCTAAAGAGCGTCAACGTGCCTTTCTAAAGGGAGTGCAATACACATGTGATTCTCACATGTATAAAAGAGGAGCTAAAGAGCTCTTTTTTATTATTAGAGTGTAAAATGAACGTAAAAGGGGAAGAGTACACTGTTTAGCTTATAATTAACCGCCAGTGCAAACAGTAGGATACAAAGCATTTACCATGTTATTATATAGCTAAGTGTAGTATAACCTTATCGCTAAATTTTGACTACACTTTGAAAACTGTAACTCTTATTTTTACATGTGGTAATCACACGTGTAACACTCCCTTTAGAGATGCTCGCTGACTCTCTTTAGGAGAGTAGTAGCCCACCCAACTTTCCATAAGAAAGTCAGTGCACGATTCTCCTAAATAGAGTCAGCGAGTCTTTTTAGGAGAGCCGTGCACTCCCTCTTTTGCAAAGTTGGGCGTGCCACTACCTCCTAAAGAGAGTCAGCGTGCCTTTCTAAAGTAAGTGCTACACATGTGACTCACACGTATAAAAAGATAGTCAAAGGGCACTTTTCCCAGAGCCCTGCCACGGTGGTCTAGTGGCTAAGGTACTCGGCTACTGACCGGCAGGTCGCGGGATTGAACCGTGGCTGCGGCGGCTGCATTTCCGATGGAGGCGGAAACGCTGTAGGCCTGTGTGCTCATATTTGGGCGCACGTTAAAGAACCCCAGGTGGTTGAAATTTCCGGAGCCCTTAACTACGGTGTCTCTCATAATCATATGGTGGTTTTGGGACATTAAACACCACATATAATACCAAATCTAGAGAGCCTATGCATGACCGGCCAAATGACCAGTCGTGTAAGCTCTCTATTTTTCCACTCAAAAGTGTAGCGGTGGAAAGGTCCGCAGCGTTACAAAGAGAGTCCCCTCAGCCAGGAACTTTGTCTTTTATAGGATCACCATATATTGTATGGCACAAAGAAACGACGGGACACACAAAGAAGCACACACAACAAAACGCTACATGTAGTGCTCCGTTGTGTGTGTGTCTTTCCTGTGTGCCGTGGATTCGTTGCGCCGTCTAATCTGCACTGATGCTATGTTAACACGCCCAATATTAAACACGCCCGGTAGCTTCTCGTTCTACGTAAAAGGAACTGTAGCTTTAACAACTTCAAACGATTGAATTTATAATGCACTACAAATTGTGAGATCACCTTTGAAAAACTGCAGATATTCCCTCAAGCAAGTTTGAGGACGGATCTCGTGGTCGCAAATCTTGAGCGGACGCGTACTATGCACGCAGGTCATGAGGGGGTTGATTGTGTACACTGCGCTATGGTCATATTTTCAGGTGCAGCATGCTTAAGTGAAGCGACTTCTATGAGTGACCTCGTTTTCTTCGCATTGCGCGGCCTTACGCCGGCCCGTAATGGAGACGTGTATTCGACAAGAGTTCACCTGTTCCCCACGCAGTGTGCACGTTCATCTACAACAGCTCCGAGGTGTCCAACGGCACCTTCTCCACGCCCAACTACCCGGGCGTCTACCCGCGGGACACCGAGTGCCACTACCTCTTCTACGGCAGGAGCAACGAGAAGATATACATCGAGTTCGCCTACTTTGATGTCGAGGGCGTGCCACCGTACGTACACGCGCAACTGCATCGCATTTGCAGCGGAGTCCATAGTTACCTACAGCTCGCTCATCTTATAATCTGCTAGTGTTAGGAAAATTGAAGACAAGAAATTGCAAATCCCCGAGCTTATAATAATGAATCCTGCATTAATGGTTCCAACAGCGGGCGTTACCGCTTTGAAACGCTATGTACACAATTGCGTACACCACTTGTATAAATGACAGGGCTGCTTCAGAAAAAGCTTGGTAATGGGCTAGTTGGTTAGACAAGATCGACTTTTATCGCGCGAACTGTACAGAAAGGAGCTGAATAGAGCGACGAAAGACGTGCAAAACACATCAGCGTAAACTAAAAAAAAAATTTTCAATACACAGCTCTTGCCACGCATGTGGTCTTACTATATTTATCATGCTTATCTACGTAATAAGCAGTTAGCTGGGGCCATTGTGTTTTCTGCGCATTCCATCACTGTTTTTAGCATATTTTGAGAAGTTTGCGCAAGACACGCCGGGTAAGCGCTACGAAAAGCGGGTATGTGCCAGCATTTAATTTACTATTGTACAGTATAGCATTGCTTAGCATAGTGTAGTATAATGCACAAAAATGGTAAGAAAGGAAACTGAGGAAAGCTGAGGTGAAGGTGAGCAGGAAGGAAAAGAAACGAGACGGCAGTATACAAAAATTAGGGAGATGTAGGAAGAGCTAAAGAAATAAAAATTGAGGAAGAAAGAAAGATCAACATTATTATGAACTAAATGCGAAAAAAGAACGAAATCTGCCTTCGTCTAGTGGTGGTGTTTTTTTTTTTTTTCTCTAGCTCTGCTGTTATCTCCTATATCACAGGCATACAACTGCCTTAAATTTTTTCTCTTTTTTGTGCTTATCATTGACTAGGGGCTAATAAAAGGCAAGATGCGTGGAGCTTTGCATGAATTGAACCTGCCGCGTAATTAATTTGCCTTCATTTACATTGATCTTGATGTGTATGGTTGCGTATATATGATCACTCCGCTGAAAGCACTAGAGTCGTTCGACGTGTTGCTTTCCACGAGCTGTGAATAAATTATAATTGTTATTTGCTTGAAGTGGTCATAACTAAAAACCGACTTGCACTACATGTCAAGTCTGAAACTTGATTCTATTTATACAAAACAGGGCGAGGATGACTTTAATGTAAATAAATCGTTATTACAATTTAATAAGGAGAAAGTTCAATTACAAATAAAATAATGTATAAATGCATGCTTTTTATTAAAGCGGGAGTATTGAATTGACGCATTCACAGTGATTTATTCACAGCTAGACTCTGAAAAGGGTTAGCTGTTTTCGTTTAGCAGTCTTTCGATCTTGTAGGGTTCGCAGACACAAAGCTTCAAGATTCAGTATTCTTTTTTTTTCTTCTTATCTTTTTCTGTTGACGTACGTAGCACACACATGCTCCAAAGTGATGCTCCATTACTTGAGCTCGAAGGTGGCTTTTTAGTAGACAAATCGAGGTTTGAGAGCGACCGCCTGAGTAATAATTTGGTGAGTTTTTGTACAAGTGACTCTGGTTGAGGAAAATATTAAGGAGTGGGAGTTCGAATGCACTTGGTTGCAGAAAATAATTTGTCCAAGCCCCAAACACAAGATATATTTCTTGAGTCCACCAAAAAATACATTCAACCAGAACACACCACACCAGTGTGGTCTTCCCACCAGAAACAGCACACCAGGCTAATGTGCACACCAGGACACCCAGCGTGTTTTGGTGTATTACTTAAGTTACACGAGAATACATCAGACTCTGGTGGGTTTTCAACTGGGTAGGGTAAATAAGATATCAAATACAATTTAATACGAATAAGTTCAATTACACAAAAATTAATGTATTAAGGCAACATATTTATTAAAATAGGAGTATTGGTTTGATACATTCACAAATATTTCTCACAACTAGACTCTGAAAGGGTTAGCTGCTTTCGTTTAGTAGTCTTTTTTTGTAGGGTTCGCAGACACAAAGCTTCAAGGTGCAGTATTCTTCTCTTCTTTCTGAGCTTTTTCTGTCAACGTACGTAGCACACCCATGCTGCAAAGTGATGCTGCATTACTTGAGCTCGAACGTGGCTTCTTAGTAGACAAATTTAGGTACACGTGTCTGAGAGCGACCGGCTGAGTAATATTTTGGTGAGTTTTACTACAAGTGAGTCTGGTTGAGGAAAATATTAAGAAGTGTAAAATAGAATGCGTTTGGTTGAAGAAAATTTTTAGTCCGAGCCCCAAACACAATGTATATTTTTTGAGTCCACCAGAATTCATCCAACCAGAACACACCACATCAGTGTGGTCTTCCCACCAGAACACACCAGTCTGGGTCGGCATTCCCACCAGGACACATCACAGTGGTTCGGCATTATTACCAGGACACAGCATCATCATCATCATCATCATCATCAGCCTGACTACGTCCACTGCAGGACAAAGGCCTCTCCCATGTTCCGCCAGTTAACCCAGGACACAGCACACTGGTTCAACTTTCACACCAGAACGCATTCCACCAAGACCAAAGTGGGTCGGTGTTCACACCAGAATACAGCACACCACGCTAGTGCATTCACCAAGACACACCAGCGTGTTCTGGTGTATACACCAGATCACACCAGAGCACACCAGACACACTTGGGTTTTTCAACTGGGGTGGATCTTATGTTGGCCGTAATGCGAGCGCCTCCCATTCAGGGCACAACTTCGGCGCCTTCTTTAGAAGAGCAGAGATGATGAATGCGTCATCGCAGGTGCCTCTCGGACACGGCGAGCGACTACGTGGAGTTCTCCAACTTCCGCACGGTGGACCGCAAGATCCCGCGCCACTGCGGCAACCTGCGACCGACAAAAATCGAGTCCGACGCCGACTTCTTCCGCGTCTCGTTCAAGTCCAACGACAAGTTTGACGGCACCGGATTCGAGGCCTTCTACCAGTTCAGAAACAACCCCGGTGCGTATCTCTTATTTTTCTTTTTATTGGTATAGCAATTTTATGGGCACTCCTAACGGGTCTTTTGACGTCGCCGTCATGTTCCGTATAAATTCCCAATCGATAGCATTCCCCTGTGCATTTCATGTTCAACTCGTGGATGAAAGTGCGAGAGGGGGAGCGATAAACGTGGCTGAAGCAGAGATAACACGAGCCGACCCATCTCCGCCGCACGGAGAGCTCACGTGATATCACGCAGCGTGCAAGACCTGCCCACGATGGCTGCTCTAACAAAGAGTAAATGACCCCCCCCCCCCCCCCCCGTCTAGAAAGAGCGCGAAGGTATGTGAAGGCGTGTGTCACTCGAGCAGCAACTGTGAGCTTTTGATTATGAGGGCCTGGTCTCGATCACTAGAGCACGCCCTATCTCGGCAGCCATCACCAGACGGTTTATATATCCTTCTACGAGCTGCGCTGTTAATGCAAAGAGACTGTGTGAAAGCGACCATTTTCCCTGTAGAAGAAGAAGAACAAAACTTTAATAGCGAAAAAGACTTTGTTGCCACTAAAACAGGGCAGCGCCACGTGGTCGGCCCCCTATTACATGACACCGCTGGCTCTCGCCATCCTTTTAGCTTTCCTGACCAGGCTCCACTGGTCCTCAAGGGCTGGGCTAGACAGCATTGCCTCCCACATCTCCCTGCTGTTGTTCTCTTCGTGTTCTTCGGTGTGTGCCGTACATTCCCACGTGCAGTGGTAGAGCGTCGGTGTGCTTCCATACCGCGGGCATATGTCTTTGTATGATGTTGGGTAGTACTATGCAATCTGTGGATGTTTATGTATGTGTATGTTTGGAGTCGGCGTAACGTCGCAGAATGCATGGCCGAAAGGTTCTTGTGTGGTGCTGGGTAATGTATCCGCGAATCTCTGTAGTATTGAAGGATCGCTTCGTAACTGGGATCGATGGGTGTCGGGTCCTCCACGGGGTCGCCATCGGCAGCTCGGTAATTAGTGAAACCTCGAGCCACCTCATCTGCATAGAGGTTCCCCGTAACATCCTCGTGTCCCGGGGCCGAAGTGATTGTGTGGGTATAGAGTATGTCTAGCTGTCTGCTACTTTATGTCAGTATCCGGTGTCCCTTGGCGCCGATTTTCCCTTTTTGACAATTTCTACATGCGGCCTAGATTCTGTGATGATAGTAAGAGCAGTGTTGCGCTCCATGCCTTCCCTTATAGCTAAGGCAATGGCAATCTTATCTGCTTGTATGACAGTTGCTTGAGAAACCGAAGCACAAGCTATGATCTTACCGCTTCTGTTTTCCACAACCACTACCATATTTTTTTGCATTGGCCCAGTCATTTCCGATGGAGGCGGAAATGTTGTAGGCCCGTGTGCTCAGATTTGGGTGCACGTTAAAGAACCCCAGGTGGTCTAAATTTCCGGAGCCCTCCACTACGGCGTCTCTCATAATCATATAGTGGTTTTGGGACGTTAAACCCCACATATCAATCAATGCATTGGCCCAGTATAGCGAAGCATACGTGAATCTCGAAATATTCGGGAACCTTGTTGTTTTGTCGATATATGCCGCTCGAGCTTTTCTCCAGCCTGCATGTAATGTTGGATCCATGTTTTGTGGTATTGGTGATACCCCATACAAATCTCTGATCTGGCATGGTAGTGCCTTGGTCCTTTAGTGTGTGTGCATACACCTTTCAAGGCCGACTCTATAAAGAAGAGCTCTGCCTGCTGGAGTTTGCCCCAATCGAGTCCTCTGCGCTATGATTTGATGCTCAGACAGCTCATCAAAGGCGTTGTGGAGGTTGGGGGATAGAAACTTCTTATTAGAAGTGTTACACGGCAACCTCAATACTTTCTTGTATGCCATCCTGATAATTTGATCAGCCTTATCTTGTTCCCCCCTATTCAGGGCATGGTAAGGGAGCGAGTACATCCCTCTGCTGATTACCAGGCTTTTAACAAGTCTGAGGGTGTCATGCTCCCCCATCCCTCTCCTATTATGGGCCACGTGGGCTATCATCCGATTAATCTGATTATCATCCGATTAAGACACCTGTTGTTCGATTGTAGCCACATTCCCAGAACTTTATGTGTTGACCGCTCTGGAATAACCGTCCCCTGAAGCCGGATCTCGAGTGCGAGTCCGGGATCTTCTCTTTGTTTCTTGTCTTTTGTGAGGCGAATCAGTTCCGACTTCTCCGGCGAACGCTGTAATCCCCTTTCGTTTGTATATGCTTCTATTATATTGGCTGTCAATTGGAGCTTTTCCTCCATTTTGCCCAAGTTGCCCTTTGTTATCTTTATTGTTATATCATCCGCATATGAAGAATGTTGAGTGTCGGGAATTTCTAGGAGCTTTTTAGCCAGTCCAATCATGGCTATGTTGAAGAGTGTAGGCGAAAAGACTGAACCTTGTGGTTTGCCTCTGATCGGAGGATGGATGATGTTGGATTCATCATATTCTACTTTGATGACAGCTGTTCTTTCGTTCAGGAAGCTTCGAACGTGCTGATACGTCCTAATACCACAGTTGGTCTCGGCTAAGCCGTCAAGTATCCCTTTGTGGCTTACGTTGTCAAAGGCTCCTTTTATGTCAATGGCCATGACAATGTGTTCTCCTGGTTTGGTGACGTTGGTTAAAACTTCCTCTTTTAAAAGCAGGAGAATATCCTGTGTTGAAAGATGCGGCCTGAAGCCAAAGATTGTGTCAGGCATGAGGTTATTTACTTCAAGATGACGTTGTAGTCGAATTTTCACTATTCTTTCGAACACATTTCCAAGACATGATGTGAGAGATATGAGCGAAAATTTTTCAAAGCCAATTTCTTACCTGGTTTTGGGATCATGATAATAACAGCGTGTTATTATTGATGTGGTATCGTTTCTTTAACACAATGATCATTTATGATGCTCGTATACGGGCTGTAATAGATTCATCGTTCATGTTTCTGATCATGGTATTTGGTAATTGATCCGCCCCTGCCACTGTGTTCCGCTTTGTACAGGCGATTGCTTCTCGCACTTCTGCTTCCGTGAAGAGCTCATCCATTCGTGGGTGTGGGTGGCCACTTTAGTCAACTTGGTACAGAGGTGTCGAGACTTTGTCACCGAAGCATTTGGTATAGACTGCATTGAGAAGTTGGTCTTTAGTGCCTGGTACGAGTGTAACAATCTCTTCAAGTTTTTCTGGCTTTCGCATCGTGTTTTGAGTGGGTCTATCATTGATCTAAGGATGCTCCACGCTTTCGCTCTTCCTAGTGTTCCCTGTGATGTACCACAAAAGCGTTCCAAGTGTGTTGTTGCAAGTTGATTAGCGTATTCTTCCGCCTCTTGTGATATGTTTTTTTTATTTTTTTTGAGCTTTCGCTTGCGTTTTTGCCGTTTAAATCACTTGGTCAAGCTTCTTCGTGCATTCGTGCATCCCACAAATGTAGTAGGCGAGGGTTGACTTCAGGTGTTTTCTCCGTCCTGGTGACACTTTTGGTGTGTTACGCCATCCTCATGTATGAAGTGGTACGGCATTCTCATGGGTTCCGTCCAAGAGCAGCCAGAGCGGCATCATTGGTGCGTTCGTTTCCTATGATGCCACAGTGACTTAGAAGCCACTGAAACGTCACGTGGTGCCCTTTCGTGTGTGATGTGTGAATAAGATTACGAATTTCATATACGAGCTCTTTGTACGGCCCGCGACGCAGTGCTGTTTTCGCTGCCCTAATAGTGGTCATTCTTTCCGACGTTACAGATCCTTTCACAGTTCGACAAGTCTCCGCTGTGCAGAACAAGCAAAATGGTAAGTAACAGAACATCTACTCATTCGTGGGGTTATTTCATGTTCGAGTACTTGCACCTTATTTTTCAAAACAGTCGGAAAGTTAATCACAGAGTTGGAAACTAATCTAATTTTACATTACACTACTGCTTGAGAGCTATTTTGTTTTTATGCTTATTCTGAGCATCAAGGTCAAGGGTGATTCCACGTAAGATAAAACAAAGCATGGATGGTCGACTTCTTTATTTCTTTCAAAACTTTATATATTGTTGCTTGATCAGTGGAAAGAAGGTTTACAACAGGTTTTGCTGTAAAGTTTTTTTTTTCGAGCCACAGTAAGTCAATAATGATGGAGAGGTGGGGTGCCATGCTTACCTGCTCTGCTGCTTTTTTTTAATTTGGCGATGAATTACACAAAATTAATTAAAGCTACGAGTCTAAAATTCATTTGGCTACATATAAGCATACTGGCTTTTACGTTCAATTACATTTCGGTTGCCAACTAGTGTGTATTTGTTTGCAAAATTCTCAAATTTGATTTAAAAACATTTTTTACCTAGTTTGCAGGTTTTCATTTCACAAACTACCTATGGCAGAGCGGTGAAAATTTCGTATTTTTTTTCAACATGCCAATTTACAAAACTGCCAAAGCTTTTACTAATAAACCTTCTCAATAAGAAGATATAATTGGGCTAACTTCAAGAAAGAGCATGCAATGGAAACTAGTGATGACGATTAAAAAACATTTTTATATCTTTTATATTTTCCCCACTTATTCTACTGTACATCGGCTTTCACAATCAATAAAAACTTGTTGCATTTGATGGCTTAGCTTGCAGTAACGGCCCATCAGAAAATTCTCTTGCGCAAGGACTGGTGAAGTCTATTTGCTGTGGTGTTGAGACTCTTATATATTTCTTTTTCAATATAGTAGACGCCTATTAAGTTATGTGATTAATGAGTTACAGTGGCTATCGTTCGAGAAAAGTCACTGTCAAAACGAAGAGAATGTCCAGTCGGGGCCAATATGAGTTGCATGCATCACGCTGGCTGAGCTTGAAATGGCGTCCACGCTGCAAATCGGCACCTACGTAGAAAAAAAAGGTGAATTAAATTCCCCATTAGCAGTGCTTTCTGAACAAATTTAACGTTTGTTGGTGTCATTGTTCAGGCTTGGGGTCACTTTACCCACAGCCAGCGTGCAGCAACTCATGTGTATACATTTTTTGTCATAAAATAACGTCAGAGGAAACGTAAACGTTAAAGAATTTTTTCACCTTCTTCACCAATGTTTTAATCAGAAAAGAAATAAGATTTGAGGAAAAGCGCTATATAATTACCAATAATTAGGCATCCAGATGAACAGTGAGGTGCACATCGCAAATTGCGTAATGCAATCAGGCCCTTTATCTTTGTCGGTCGATGTGCGTCTTCCAGCACTTTTTGTTGCGTTTTTTTTGCGTTTTCTTTATTGCAGTGGGTGGCTGAGCCTGACCAGATTATGCGCTGTTTACAAACCAGATTATCAAATAGAAGCAAAGATGCAGTAATTTTTATCGTATTAAGAGGCGCAGACCTTAAGTATAATGAGCGCCATGTAGCAGGAACCCCTGACGCTGTTCGTGTTTATAATGCAAACACTCCCTGACAAGGTTACCGCTCTCATCGCTGGTTACCGCTCTCAACGCAGTAGCCCCACTGTACACGCAACTCTACTTTGGAAAGGGCGCTTTCTTCATCATATCGACCCTTTTGCAAATTATATAGAATGGGTGTCTATTGGAAACACTTCTTTTAAGGGAGTACTGGTTGATTCCGACAGTCCGTTTTGTTTGTTCTACTTCTTCTGGCTCATGGTAGGGAGAATTGAAATTTCGACTTTATTCAATGCCCACGCTTTGCTGAAGTTTTCGTAAAATATAAAAATGAAGTGTTATTTTTGAAGGCAGCAGTCGCATTGCACTTCTACTTCAATATCATTTGCTTGGCCGAGTTGTAGTCAGATTTTTTTTTTTATTTAGTGCACACACCCGCCTAAATTGACTGTTTATTAGTATGCTAACCTGACCGATGGATCACCTGTTCGTGTCAGTAGTCTGCTGTAGCAGTTACACAAGAATGAACTTTAAAAACAGTAACAAGGTTTCACCGTATTGTGTACAAGCATCATACAATTTACCGCAAATACGGAGCTTTAGTACATGTTAATTTTGGTGCTCATTGAGACTTCAAAGCACTGCCGAACGACAATGCAAAGAAGGCGGCTGCACGACAACATGCGGCATACTTCGTTTCTTTTAGTTTTTTTTTTTTCGCAGGTTGATTCTCGCGTGCGCGAGTCACACACGAGAAAATTTATTGCACCAATCAGTTTGTTGATTCAAATGCTTCATCACGTCACTGTACTTCCCTTAAACCCTTTATATGCGCGTGCACGTATAATTATGATCCGCGTTACGAGTTTCTCTATGTTCTCTCTCTTTTCAGTGCACAGATCTTCGCCCGCAACCGCCCTGCTGTCTCTGGTTCTGCTGTGGCTTCTGGTAGCCGATCACTGAGGCAATCCAGGCGGGCCTCTCTCTTTCCGCTTTACTCAAAAAGCCACTCACTCGCCGAGTTCAAGTCATAACCCCATCTCTCTACGTTCTCGATGTGTTCTCACGGTCACCAAAAAAGTGTAAACGAAGCAACAAAAAAAAACAAAGAAAGCACAAAGGCATCGACATACTTCACAACTCGCGCCTCACCGCACCTCCGTTGGTGCTCAGAGCTCGACTGTCTTCGTACGCAGAAGAGGACGAAGATCGTGCTGTGTGCGTGTGTGTGAGTGTATGTGTGTGTGTTCGACGTATCCGCTGTGGAAAACGACGCTACAATTCAATGCGCACAGACTGTTGGTCATGAACTTCACGCCGATTTCACTCTACCCTCTCGACGTCTCCCTCACCTCGCCTCCAACGTGAACTTCAAAGTTCTTCTCTTCCTCCTATCAGTGCTTCTCCACTTATTATTCGTGTGCGGCCGGCACGAAGGGCCTCTTGAAGCTCGACGTCGTTTTTTTTTTTTTCGCTGTTATGTGAGCGCTCGTTTATGTGCGCGTGTGTACCGTGCTCGTGTGTGCGTGTGTGGCAGATCATTGGACCGCACTCCTTCCTCGCGAAAAAACAAAGAACTGTCATTGAAGAACCTCGATGAAGACGTTCGCAGCACGTCTTCACGGTGGCCGGAGAGGACTCAATGGTGGAAACATGGGAAAGTCGTGAGAAACAAAACTGAACAATACGAATGATGGTGCGTCATCCTGTGTACTATCTCTCTATCTCTATCTCGAAGAGCGAAATGACAGCAGCGTTATATAGGCGCGATCACCGCGACGTATTGCACTGTTCCCGAAACGAGGACAGTGACCCCTTTCCGCGACATGTAACTCACCCGACATCCCGTTCGAGCTTGCGTTGTTGTTTTCCTTTTCGCTTTCGTTGTTTCATTTTGTTACTTAGAATCTCCCCGACACTCGAAATGAAGAAGAAATGGGCTTGGACGGGGTATGTTGCGAGATACTGGGATAACCGCTGTTTGTTAAAGAACTGGATTGTAAATGGAGGAAAGCGCGCCAGAAGAAGGCCGAAAGTTCGGTGGGTAGGTGGGATTTAAAAGCTTGCGTGAGTAAAGTGGCCACACGATGCACAGGACCGGATTGAACAGCTTTTTTTATGGTTCCACTACGCACATGCCCTCCCTATTGGGAAAATTTTGAAACGTTTGTAGGGTCTCCGGACACCTTCAGGTCCCTGAGGCTGTTGTTCTAGTCGTACCACTTGTTCCTAATCACCCGCTGAACTTTACCTCCCGACAATTGCAGCAGAGGGCAGCACAGAAAAGTGAAAAAGGTGGATTGGAGAAACGAGGTAGTGGACACTGCCCTGCATCGGGTCAGGCTGAAGATAATGACGCTGATAGTGGAGATGATGATTAAGCACGACGTGATAAGAGGCCGTTCTTTAAAATATGAACGATGTTGTCTTCGAAAGGGGCCGCTTGCCCTTGCCCAGTCCACAATGAAAATCGAGCGAAGGGTGGCATGTTTTCGAATGCGTTTAGCTGGTGTTGATGAAGATTTCAGAGTTCTTCCAGTTCGTGTCTGGCTACAGAATCTCATCCAGTCGTTCACGTGCGTGACACTAAAACAATGTGTTCATATAAATGTGTTGCGCACGCGGTAGTAGTTGAAATACTTTCTTTTCGTATGAGAACTATCTCCATCTGTGAGCAGGCCGAGGTGGCAAAGAAAATTGGTGCTGGTTTCCCAGTCAGAGAAAAAAAAATGCAGTGATATTGGGCCCGAGACCAAGGCCCATTAACGGTAGTCGTTGTGTGATATGGACAAACATTTCTGAATGGCAACGCGAGGATGAGTCATTCTAAATGCTCGAAGCACAGGAATTCCATATAAACTTACATTGATCGTTTGGTGTTCTTGTTCGAAAAGAAGTTGGCGCTCTCTTTGTTGCTAATCTCGTGTCTAAACATGCGATTGCGATGGCACTTATATAAGCACTCTAGGCGCTATTTCACCGTGGCTGTCGGCGTGAGGTCCCGTTAAAGTCCAAAAGCTACAACATGAAACCGATCACCGTATACTCTATATGCGAGCTTTCGTTTATTTTTTCCTGCGATTCCACTCTTACGCTACGCTCCTTGTAGTTCAGAGAACTAAGATCACGCGCATATGAGCATGGCAGCGTTTTCTCGAATAGAATCTATCGGGCGTGCAGTTTTGAAAAAAGTGTGAGCGTACATCAAGTTTACTGTTATAAGTTGTTGAATTTGCAGCAGTAAGTTAGTCACAATGTCGTTACACTGACATGCTCTAAATCACGACTTCGCTCCCCTCTGTGGCTATATACCGCACTTGGGTAGCGGTGATATAAAAAAAAACAAATGCCGGGTATTAAAAATTGACTTGCAGTTTCCCCGCTACGCGGTGCACTAGTTGTGGGACCATGACTTCTGCACTGAAAACAACGTAGTAATGTTTTTGTTGTTTTTGGCGACACTATCAAGGCACAACGCCTGCATTTTTTTTTAGTGTGCGCTTGGATATTCGGGAACGATACTGCCTCACGTCACGCTCGGCCAGTGTCCTTACTTGGTTGCTGTAGTGAAACGACCGCGCCGAAAAGGTGTTGATCATCACCAGTTCGAATTGTATGCAGTAAGCTCATTGCTATTATTTAACGCTTATTTTTGTGGCGACCACTCTCAGCTTTGCTTGCTAGCTTATTGCTGCCTCCTGATGAGTATTCGCGAAAGTTGGAGCGCAAAAATAAACATACACCTAGGTCGAGAAACACCAGATAAGTGCGCGTTTTTTTTTAACTTTCCCAATTTTCACCATCTCGCCCAAAATCAGGTTTGGTTAAACGATCTTTTCACATGGTTTTCATTTCATATAGAACATTCACCATCTTTCAGACAGGCGCAGAACTGATATTCCACTGTTCTCGTTCTGCGGCTTGTGTTCAACACTCTCCTTGTTTTATTTAAAAAGATGGTTTTTCGTTTTTTTTTCGTTTTTTTCTAACAGGAGTTATACTGACTTTTCTTAGCCTTGCTTTACAACTAAGTATATCACCAATTCCACATATTTTTCCACTTCCCTTTTTCTTCACATTGTAATTCTTATCAAAATCCGGCTTGTGAATTCACACGCTAAAGGTAAACACATACGCATTCACACGCTCCGTAGATAAAGTGGCTATTAAAACTATTCGGTACGATTCCATGTTGTGGTGCACTGATAAAGTTATTTCCAGGCGACGGTATATATTTCGTTTTTTTTTTTTCTCTTATACCTTTGAAGTAACAAACAGTGACACATGCAAAGCTTAAAGCTATAAACAAACAAACAAACAAACCTTATCTTGTGGACTTGCCTGTAAAGCGTGCTTCTTTGTAGCAATAGTGTTTAAGCAACACAGCCAACTTTACAAATCCACACCAGTTTTTTTTTTTTTTTTTTGGGGGGGGGGGGGGGGGCAAGACAATTGCAATAGCTGATTTGCCTCCTTTAAAACGTTAACTTTATTGCTGTTTTCCCAAAGTAAGCTAACGAATATTTTACAGCTCGCCTGTGGTAAACATTTTCGCAAGGTTTCTCGTTCAGCTGGACCATTTATTGTATTTTTTCAGAGCCACAGAAGACCTCGGACGGTGGCGCCTTCAACAAACAAGGTCAGAACGCATGCTTGGTTTTTTATACTTTTCTTGCAGCTGGCGCTAGTGTTCCTGCATGGATCAAAGAGGCGCTAACTTCAAAGGAAGAGCTCAAAGCCGTGCGGTGCAATTCCTCTGGTTACGTGCTTGGATTAAACGGCACAGTCAAAGGTAACAGAGGCTTGGGAAAGTCAAAACTCACCGTGGCTTAGTTCTCTTGTAAGTTTGAAAAAGTTATGTTGAACATTAATGAACACCAACACGAGGCTAACGACTGGATGAGCGTACTGTTTGCTCTCACAGCTGCTGTTATATTTAATTGTGCTACTAAACAATCAGTATATGTACAGTCCTCAACAAGCTTAACAATAACGCCCCGATGCAATACCTGGTCTGCAATGACTGATGCCTTTTGTAGAGATGAGCTTTTGTAGAGATAGTACCTCGGCATGCTCGGATAGTATGTCGGCACGAATGGGTGACATCTCAGCAACGAAGCCCAAGCTACACGGTGCTAGCGTCAACCAAATGGGTTCCAGACATGCGGCAGAGCGTTCGTGTTGAGCTTGCTGACGACTGCTGGTTCAGAATTTTATTTAGATTGTCCCGGAATTTGGCAGTGACTTCATGGTGGAAGTTTCTGACTTTTTCACAACAGGCTCTTGTTTCGCATGAGCCTTGTCTGCGTTATCGGACAGTTACACTCTAAAATTTAGTTCTTGATGGATCGCAAGCACTATTAGCGGGTGAGCGATGGCCAGCTTTTTAGACAATCGCAATGTCCCGTGTTACATAGCGCATTCCGATCGCGACAGACAGTCTTTTAAAGTGGCATAGTTTTCATGATTGCCTGCGCTACACACAAGCGGACAGAGGTACAAATGTAGAACACGCACGTAAGCTCGCAACTGGTCACCATTTAAAGCCTGCGTGCAGGAGGAACCGAGAGCTACAACATCTGGTCAGGAACTGTTTATTGTTTCCCGACAACGTGAGCCCGCGTGCATGGTGACGCAAAAGGGAAAAGGGGAGAAAAAGCGTGCGGTTCGAGTTGTCCTCTGTCTTGCCCGCACCGCTTGACCAGAGCTTTAGGGGCGAAGCTCGTTATAGCGGCACTCATTCATCCCTTGTAGCCGTTGTAGTAGTGTGTAACAAGTATAACATTTTGATTTCCAAGGTGGTGCCGGTGAGAGATTTCTTCTGTGCGTTGTTGAACAATAAAAAATTCGCAGCGTGCGCGTTAAGTAAAAGGCGGATTCTCCTGTCTCTAATTCCTCCTTAGCAGCCATTGGCATGTACACTGAGCACTATCTGACAAGAAAGGATATTTACGTTATACTCGCTGGGTGTAACCTCCTTAGTTTTAGAAAGGTTTAGCGAGCGTTGTGGCGCAGTGCCACGAATACAGTGAACTAGTACATACCATGAACTCGAGGTGGTTAAAGGTGGGAAGTAGACACGAAGCGCAAGCCGTAAGATAGTGTGCGTGTGCCACCTTGGAATGTCTGCTGGAAGGCGGTGCATATGCGGAATATATGATGAAAAGATGCGAGATGGTGGTACTTGGAGTGTTGAATAGATGGACGAATGGACACACAGACAGATGCATGGACGGACTCACGAATGGCTGCACCGACGGATGGACGCATTGACGGACGCAGGGGCGGATGCATGGACGAACGCAGGGACGGACGCACAGATGAACGTGCGGACGCCCAAACAGACGCACGCACGGACGGGTGAATGGACGTACGAATGGTCACACAGACGGACGCATGGACGGACGGATGCTTCGCCCCTCTCTCCATCATTCACTCGGTGGATATGCTGCCATTTTATATTTTGTTTCTTAGCGATGCCGAAGGCGCTGATATCTGGGCGCGACGTAAAACGGTGCGCTACAAACTATAAACAAAGAAATACAACTCTATTTTCATTAACACAGATGACCGAATTCCTTGTCTGACATCGAGATAGACTCCTGATTCACACAATTGTTACCCGTATTTCTACAACAGAAGGCTCCAATGAATCCCAGCTTTAGTTTTTGCCTATCTGGTGAAGGAAGGTTTGTGTCTGCTAAGTCAATGGTGTCCATTTTTTGTCCTTGTATGTGCTGCGGAGCTTGCCATAAATAAGTATGAACTCACACAACTGTTTCACACGGTTTTATATTAATAATATTACTATTATGAGTAGTAGTAGTAGTAGTAGTAGTAGTAGTAGTAGTAGTAGTAGTAGTAGTAGTAGTAGTAGTAGTAGTAGTAGTAGTAGTATGCTGTTGTCAAGTTTTTGCCTAATTTGTGATAATGACTCGTTCCACTGAAATATTTTTTGTTCACCACCGGAAGTAGCATGTTTGTCGGTATGAAACAATGATAGACCAGTCTTTATCTCTTCTTGAATTCGTCTGTTTCTCGAGCAACTTTTTATTTTGTTTTAACATTCCTTAATGCACTGATTGCTCCGACTCAACAGAAGTTTATCG